CACTCCTGAAGTCCCGAGTCAGTGTGCTGGCCTCTCTGACATCTTCCATCTCTCCACTCTTTCCCATTCTCTCCTGGGGTCTCCTATCTCCCTATGGACAGCTTTCTCCAAGCCTGGCTCTGCCCCTACCCCTTGAGTACATGCCTGGGTAGATTTGAGGGCTACTTGCCTTTTGGGTTTTTCCTTCAGTGCCACAGATCAACAATTTGATCCTCTAGTAGTTTAAGATCTGAGACACCACTAGAAGTTCCTCTGAACAAAGCATTCTATGAAAAGGAAGGGGATCTACATATATGTGCTAATATATTTATCTCTGCTTTTCTTCTGTGTCCTTTGGATTTTCTTCCTGTGTGTATCTCATTTTAATCAAGATATACTTCCCTGTCCAGAAACCCTTAATAGTTACTTATTGCCCAAAAAAATCAAGTCCAAGTTTGTCAGCAGAGCATTCAAGATCCTCTGTGATTTGCTCCCTCACGTGCATTTCCAACAAATCAACTCTAGCCAGAGTGAGTCTGTATAATTCAGTGCTGAACGTGTAGCCTCTGTAGTCCAGTCCCAGCACAGCCACTTGTGAGCTGTGTCCTCAGGTGAGTTGCTTAACTCTATGCCTCAGTTTCCTCAACTGTGAAGATGGAATAATAATAGTAGTAATTTGAGTTGTGTGTGAAACAAGAGAATTGATAAATGTTGTGGGCTGAGAACAGGGCCTGATCATAATGTACCAATGTACTACTCTCAACACACTTGCACTTTTCTATCTTTGAACATTTTTTCACAGTTACCAGTTTTTGAAATGCTCTTCCCTTCTCTCCACCCCTCTAAATTCTTCCCATCCTTTAAAGTCCTGATCAAATTTTTCTTGCAAAAACTTTCCTCAACTGTTCAATGTACAGTGTTCTTTTCTGTTTATTGTTCTTATGATCTATTCCACAAATTTTGCAAATAATCATTTGTTGCATCATGGAACTTTTTGTATTGCCACCTTGTATGTTAACTTTGAATGTAATTTTGCCTTGTCCCCCACCAACTAGCCTGTGAATTCTTGGAAGCAAGGACTCAGGCCTGTCTTTGTATACCTGGTACATTGTCTTTCCAATAGTGGCTCAATAAATATCTGTTTATTTGACTTATTTGATTCACAGGTTGAATGCAAGTTTGCCAGATGCCTTTGGAAGTGGTGAGCTAAAGGGAGAGTAGAGGAGTTAGAACCCTTGTTATTTGCTTGTAAAATATTTATGTTTCTGTGTAAGATGTTCCATTTCCATCTTGGAAGCACTAGAACTGTCTGATCGGTGGAAATCCACTAGGATGAGATCAGGCGCTGTTTTTGGCCAGAGGGAGAGATTTGGCAGCCAGATGGGCTCTTAGAAGAGCAATTTAACCAGATGCAGAATGGCAGAGGCAGAGTCCCCAGGGCTGGCTATAACACAAAGGGGTCTCCTGAAGCACAGTTGCTTCCACAAAGAAGTTTTGCAAATTCAGGCCTTCCTTCCTTGCTGCTTGATTTTCCCCTGGGTGGAAACCTTTGGCATCTGAGAGGGCCAGGGACAGGTAAGACAGGAAGAAGAGCTAGTGTGTTACTGGGCCAAAGACTTCTGAGTTCTAGTCCAGATTTTTTCAACAACTTCCTGGGTGGCCTTGGACCTTATGTCATCTCCTTAATCTTCAGTTCCCTCATCTATCATGAAGGTGTTGGATCAATACGTAATCTCTACAGTCTCTGCTGACTCTCATAGTCTATCACTCTATGATTTTTCTCATAGTGGAGTCATTAGTATCTACTATGCTGGAGACAGAGACCTCCTTTGCCTGGAATTAATATTCTTCTGGTTGGTGAGATGCAATCAGAACTCTGGCCAGTGGAGCTCAATTGAGTCAGTCCCTAGGGTGCGAGATGATCTCATTTTATGGGGAGTGACCCTGCTTACAACAACTTGGAATCCTTTACCTTCTCCACCACATCTGGGAAAGTAAGGACTTGGGATATATGATAATGAAGAGGGGGCAGGGTAATAATGGGGCAAAGGATTAAACTGGAGCCATATCTGATTATTTGGTCAATTATCCTTGCCTCTAGATTGTCACTGAGGGTTCCCTTTCTGTAGTCCCTGACTGAAGTCACAGTCATTAATGACGGTAGAAGTCCAGGGAGATGAAGCAAGGGAGATGAAGCACTGAGGCTTGGTGCCAAGTATGTACAAGTGGTCAGAGACCCCACCCAGGCCTTGGACTTGGCCTTATGGGTACGTTCTCCAGGCCTGCCCCCACCTCCCACTGCCAGAAGGTGCTCCTCCCCCAGCACCCCCCACCCCAGATGTCCTTGGCAGCCTTCCTCAGGTGCTCCTGGCTGCTCTCTGCTCCTGCACCACCTCTCCCTGTCAAGTTAAACCCATAGTAGCCCCTCCCACTAACCCTCCTCTACTCCCCCAGGTGAGACAGTAGGTCTGCCTTTTTTAACTCAGATCAGGCTACTGGGTGTGAGATCCATGAGGCCATGGCCTTGTGTCTCTTGGTGACTATGAGCTTATCTCGGGCCCGGAAAATCATGCTGAGTAGGAAGATATTCCTGCTGCTGCTGCTGCTGCCACCATGGAAAACGGTGCTGTGTTCCAGGAGCTGGGAAATAGTGTGGCAAGCAGATGACCCTGTACAGCAGAACATTGATGACCTTCTAGAAGAGACCCAGAGATAAGGTGGGAACAGCTTGTGTGGAAAAGGGAGAGTCCTAGAAGCCAGTCCAAATATTGCAGATGGAATTATTGTGAGTCAGGGCTTTCTACAAAACCATTTGCCAAGACAGCTCACATGTCTGCAAGGCAAACATGTAAGCACAAGCTTACAAAATGAAACAGGCAGCTCAATGGCAGGCCCTGGCATGTTGGTGGGAGGTGGACAAGTGAGGACCATGGGCCTTTCACCTGTCCATTTCTCTCGAGCTGCTGTGGGGGTCCTCTAATGCTGTATGAGTTCTTTGACTTTCCAATCTATTTAATAGAAGAGAACCTGGGAAGTTAGCTCATCCAGGTCATGCCTCTGTTACTATGCTGGATGTTACCTGCAGCATGTGACAACAAGCAAGTTCTGTTCTTTCAATAAATGCCTCAGAGGAAGTGCCCACCCATTCTCTGTGACCCATTCTAGTGTTTAATTGCTGTGAAATCTTGAACAATAGGCCTCACATTGACCTTGAGATGCCCCCTTGGTAGTTTACTTTTATTCCCTCTATTTCCTATTGATTACAGGTGGGGAATAGCCACTGACCAAGGTTTCCACTTTAGAGGATGCTTTTAAATACTTGACCATAACAGGCCCCCTTAACCTACACTTATTTAGACCTAATAATTTTAGAAACATTTTACACACTTATTTACTTGATCACAATCTTTTCCAACTATTCCATGATCTCTGCTACTGACCACAGCTGTCCTCCCCCGACAGAGCTCCCCTCTCCTTTCTAGGCACCCCATCTCTTCCCTACCTATGAAATTTTTCCATCTTCAATGCACCAACATTTGAAGAGCTGTATAAGCACAAAATATTTAATTTGGGAACAGTGTCTGTGGGAAGGAATGCTTTGTTAGTTTCCAAAGTAATGCAAAGCTTAATTTTAGAAAGTAATTTACTCTTTTTTTTTTTTGGTTCTGGAAGTCACAGAGATTATGGATTGCTCTGCAGAGGCAGCCTGCCTGATGATGCTAGCACTTTGCAGCACTGGGTTTTTCTGCAGCAGTTTCATTTTTATTCTCATTCAGAGACACAGTGGGTCAGTTCAATAGAAACATTTACTCACTGAGGTCAGGGCCTGTGTCTTGTACAGCCTGTTTGTATGGCCAGGGACTGACAAGGACAAGTTAAGTGGGAAGTATTCTTAAATGTTGAATTGCATTGCATTGCCTGTCTGCCCCCCACTCCCTACCTTGGTCTTAAACTTGGTCCAATCAGGTTCTGGAACTAGGAAAAAACAGCTATCAGGTATTGGGCAGGATGGGGACAGGAGGGATCAGATTATACCACTGCTACCTTCCATGGCTCCAGGAGAAAGTTAAGGTGACAAGATTGAAGAGTATCATGTCCTACCAGATCTAATGTTAGTCTCTTCCTCTCAGAGACACACATGACTAGGAGCTGAAACATAATAGGAATTGGGATAGGAATCTGAACCAATAGAACAGGGACCATGAAATGCAGAAATTAGGAGGGTACATCACCACCACCATAGTAGCAGTATTTGGGGCCGGAACTGAGATAGGCTCTTGATAAGTAGCACTGCCCCAGAGCCCTCTGTGGGCTCCAGGTGAAGCAGCCTTCAATCATTTGCGGGGGTGCCTTTTGACTGTCAAGGCATACTTTGGTGCCTTAATACCACGATCAGTGACATTCCCAATTCCCCAGAAAGAAAATTTAAACTCTGTTTTCCAAGGGTACACACACACACACACACACACACACACACACACACACACACACAGAGTCTCTCTCTCTCTCCCGACTGTGTTATAAGCAAAAGTCAATTTGAGAGGAAGACAATGAAGTCCCCAAGAGAAAATCACTGTGAGTAAAGATACTCTGTCAGAGTGGACCAGACTCAACCAGAGAACCTGAATCGTGGAGGACAAGAGGTTCCAGGCAGAGCATGAGACTCTCTCTGTAGTTCTCACCTGAAGTCCCTCAACCTCGAATCCTAAGAGTTCCAGTATGTTCTGGAAACGAGGGGCGTGGTCTTAATTAGAAAACAAAAATCAAAACGAAACAAAAACATGTAAACAAAGGTACAATCATTCTGGAGTTGGCATCTTCTCTAAAAGACCTGGAAGACCTGTCCTGCTGGCCAGGGAGGAGCTGACTATTGGAGGTCAGGGGTTTCGAGGAGGTGGGCAACGGCGGCGGCAGCCAAGGGGGAGGAGGCAGCTGTAGCGCGGCACGGCAGCCCACTCCGAGGACAGAGACGGGAAAAGGAAAGACATGACTGCACAGCCAAATGTGGCAGAGTTAGCCACTTTTGCAGTATAACATATTTTATATTTTTTTCAAAGTGTTATCTTCTGCCAGATCTTGAAATCTTTCAGAGCTCAGTATGTGGGTGGGTTCAGCTCCATATATTTTTCATTAACGTCTACTAGTAGGCCTAGGATAGTGCAGAGAGACAAGGATAGTGCAGAGAGACAAGAAAGAACCACGCCAGAAACACAGATACAGAGAAAACCAGGCTGACAAAAAGATACATAGGGAGAGGTACTGGGTGATCTTGAGAAAAGCCATTTTCTAGGTTCAGAGGAACACAGAGTTCTAGGAGCAATTTGGTCAAGAGATTCAGGAAAGCCTATTAAGACGGTGTTCTGCGAGACGCTAGTTGCGTACCCCAGGATGGAGATCTGGCGGTCCTGGATTAAGGCTCCCCGAACTGAGAAACGAAGAGAAATCGCAAAGCTTCATTGTTTTGTTTGTCCCTTGGTTGGGCTCCAGGCAACCTGCGCGCTGGAGTTCTGACACACTGCTTGAGCGCCCCCTGCTGACCACTCTGCAGAACTTCACCGTCTGGGCCCAAGGTGAAATCGAATTACGTAATTTCTCGAGCTTTGCCCACCCCATTTTTACATTTTTATTTATTTTTTATTTATTTTTGTATTTTTCCAAGTTCCTGGCTTCTCTGAAGCCTACTGTCTAATGCCAGCGCTTGAATGCTCTGACTGCCAAGGTCCTAAGGTCCAGTGAGGGTAGTCCTGAGAGACCCAGCCTAATGAGAGGGCACGTAGGGGCTTGGCTGCACATTTATGAAACACGTGCCACATACAAACTGCTGCGGAAAGGCCCAAAGGGATTTCATTTGGTTTTTCGTGTTCTTGCCTCAAAAGGGAGGCTAGAATTAAACTGCCCTTCTGGGGCTGGGGTGAGAGCCCTTCCCCGCCCAGTTCTGACCTTTAGAGCAGCCTTCCAAAGTAAATCCCTGGAAGAGCCTCTCAGAGCACCAGCGATGGCGCGCCTCCCTCTTTCCTTTCCTTATCTCTCTCCCTGTTCATCTTTTCTTTCTTCTCTGCTTGGGGAGGAGAAATTGCAATGTGCAAAGCCCCTGGGGCGAGAGGGAGAGAAATACAAGTCTCCGCAAATGCCAAGCCTATGTTACTGCTAAGAATAGCCTTTATCTCTGGGAGGAAGCGCAGGAGACCTGGTTCCTGTTTCTCTCTCCCTCTCCCCTCCCTCCTTTCTCCCTCTCTTCTCCCTCCCCCTCACACCCGATGAAGGTTGATTATAAAGAGGGCAGTGAGCCTGTCTTTCCTAAAGTGACTGAGACTTGAGTCACAAAGGCTAGAGAGGGGATGTGGGAGGAGAGAATAAGAGTCCAGAGGACCAGGGTGGGAGGGAATGGAGAAGGCAAGAGCAGCATGGGGGGAACAGGAAGAACAGGACACGGGAGCCTGCAGTCAACTGATTGACAGGGGTGGTGGGACCCTCAAGTAGCGTCCCTGGGGTCAGCAGTGGGGGCAACTGGGGCTTTAGGCACGCCCCCACCTCCCCGTTCTGGCAGGACATAGCCATCACCTTGAGGGATGGGGACAGGTTTCCAGACCTCTGGCTAGTATATGGGCTCACAGTAAGCAACTCATCTCCTCAGAGATTAGAAACCCAAATTATATCTCTCAAAATCAGGTTTTTCAGGCTGGGAGTGGTGGCTCACACCTGTAATCCCAGCACTGTGGGAGGCCGAGGCAGGCAGATGGCTTTAATTCAGGAGTTCGAGACCAGCCTGGGCAACATGCACAAACCCCATCTCCACAAAGAAATGCAAAAATTAGACAGGCTTGGTGACTCGTGTCTGTGGTCCCAGCTACTCAGAAGGCTGAGGTGGGAGGATTGCTTGAGCCTGGGAGGCAGAGGTTGTAGTGAGCTGAGATCATGCCACTGCACTCCAGCCTGGTCAGCAGAGTGAGACCTTAAAGGTCAGAGGCACATGGTGAGAACAGCAGAAAGGATTCTCTTTCCTTTGTAATGAAGAATTAAACAGATATTACAGTTAACTGCCTTGCAGGAGTGACCCTCAGGGAAATGGGGTCACTTATGCTTTGGTTTCTTCATTACCTGCTGGGCCCCTGCCCCTTGTTTCTTTCTTTTGTCCATCTTCCCTCCCAGCTTGCCCTCTTTCCTCTTTTCACGAGTGCAGCTTTTTGCCCACACCGTCAGTGATGTTCCCTGGCTCTGGCTTCCTCCCCCACTCACCTTTCCTGTCGCTGCTGGATCTTCTTTTCTGGTCAGAATGCTGTTGTGGAAGGAAGGGGAAGAGGGTGTTGGCACATCTGCTTGGGGACCCAAATGTCTGATGCCTTGCAGATTTCTAACAGGACTAAGAGGTATCCCATAGAGTTTGAGGAGAGTCAGGCTCTAGGTCTTTCTTGACTCAACATCAATCTGCAAAGCACCGCTGAAAAATTACTAGACAGCTGCCAGCCCAGAAGTTGTATTATCTCCTATCTTGAATAGCCCTTGTCCACTTCTACCATAGAAAAGTATTTTAGTGACTCATGAGTCAATAGGAGCAGAAGGGCCTTGGCAGGCACTGCATAAATACATATTATGGTTATTTATCACGAATGAAGGTGGCTCATAAATAACTGAAACTGGCCCAGTTCTGCTTCTGTTGAATAAAAGGAAAAACCCAAAAACATCAAAGGATAAAAAACAAAAGGGGAGCGCTCTGCAGAAGATGGCATTACTTTGTGTTCTATAGCTGAATAAATTATAGCAATTGCTAAAATGCTCCTGGAGAATAAACGATTTTAGAAGAGACCTGCTCAGCAGCCCCGAGTTGTGGGTCTGGGCTGCCCGTGACCAGCAGAGGGCAGACTTCAGTTATAAACGGAAGACTGCCGAACAGATAGTGGGGAAATGGTAATTGATGGTTCAAGGTTGTAAACTGCTTATTCCATGCTGTAAATACTCACTTTGGGCCTATGCATACCCCCAGAGATCATAGTCCAAGATTCTTGATAGGTTACAAGAGACTAGATTTCAAGGAACCAGCTCCTTGTAATACATATTTTTTTGTTCATAAGGTTAAAATCTGGGCAGAAAGGGCTGGTTTTGCACAAACCTCCCTCTGGGTGCCACAAACTGCTATTTAATGTGCAGTCACTGAAGTGACTTGTCCCTGTCCTGGCCCTGACACAGCTACTCACAGCCGCATATAGTTTGGAGTGGAAGTGTTGGGGCTTTGTATCCGACTTGGAAAAGCAGGTGCTGTGTCATGGACTTGGTGAAAAAGTCCCTACTGTTGGTCATTCCCCTTTGTTTAATGAATAGAGAGAAGTCTGCTCCTGAGGAAACAGAGAAATAGGAATGAAGAGTATTGGAAATGTTTCCTTAAGATTTGGGTCAGCGTAGCAACTTGACTCCTAGGTATATATCCAAGATAACTGGAAACACATGTCCACACAAAAACCTGTGCACAAGTATTCCTAGCATTATTAATCACAGCCAAAAAGTGGAAACAACCCAAGTGTCCATTAACTGATGAAGGACTAAACAACATGTGGTTTATCCATATAATGGAATATTATTCAGTCATAAAAATGAAGTATTGATACATTACAACATAGATAAACCTTGAAAACCTCATGCTAATTGAAAGAAGCCAGTCACTAAAGACCCATATTGTATTATTCTAATTACATGACATGTCTAGAATGGGCAAATTCATAAAAGGCAAATAAAAAATGAAATAGGCAAACAGAAAAACAGATTGATGATTGACTGGGGTTGGGGAAGGGAGACATGGGACTGACTCCTAATGAGCATGTTATTTCTTTGGGGGATGATGAAAATGTTCTGAAATTAGATAGTGGTGATCGTTGCATATCTCTGTGACTATATGGAAAGCCACGGAATTCTACACTTTTAAAAGGTAAATTTTAAGTATGTGAATTATATCTCAATAAAGCTGTTATTAAAAAAAGATTTGGGGCTGGGCACAGTGGATCATTCCTGTCATCCCAGCACTTTGGGAGGTTGAGGTGGGAGGATCACTTGAGCCCAAGAGTTCAAGAACATAGTAAGACCCCATCTCTACTGAAAAAAAAAAAAAAAGATTCGGACCAAAACAGACATTAACAGACACTATAGAAGGAAACTCAGAGCAGGAAACAAGGTGAATATAAAGAGAACATTTGACTTCTGGGACAGCCAGCCCTACCCCCATCCAAAAAAGTACTTTGGATGAGAACAGAGCAGGTTTAGTCCAGGTTAAAGACAGAGGCAGCCAAATTCAGTGTAGGAAGCAAAGAGAATTATCCACAAAGCTGAACTGACCTTGCATCTTCTTCAGCTGACCCACCTGTAAAGAGTTAACACCTCTCTGATCATGCTGGCTTTGGTAATATGGGTGCTGGTTCACTCAAGGCAAGAGGACCACATTTGAGCTGATGTCATGGTGACAGAAGGTGCAGAGGGAAATAAGGGAGAATCACACTCTTCAAACCACAGTAACAAGAAAGGCTTCCCAAGCTCTCAGGAGGTGGCAAGGAAGGAAGGTGATAATAGTTAAGTCACCAGCTCAGCTGCCAGGGAACTTCATGGTTACACTTGAGTTCCAAGTATATTACCAGTGACACCCAAGAGGCCAGAAGAAGCCTGTGCTCTATTCCTTCTGTAGTAGCCGCCACAGCACCTTGCAGAGGTTGGGCCTATGAGAGCCCTTAGTAAATACTTGGAAAAGGTGGATAAATTAAGAAATAGATGAGCACACAACTCCATAGGGCAAGGGAAGTACCCTGAATGACAGAAGCCAGGGCCAGGTGCAGCCTTGTTCAGTGCATTGGAGAGGAACTATCCTTGAACGAGAAAGATAAGGAGATGCCTGCTCTTTATCAGAGCCATCCACTCATCCATCACGGGACTTGCCCGGCTGAGTTTAAGCAGGGCCATGTCTCAGGCGCATCTGGACACATCCGTCTGCTATGGCATGCTTGGTATGCCTCATTTCTCACCTTCCTCCAATTCCTGGGCAGAAACTGTAATGTGTTGATATCATTGTGTGAGATAGAGCCAAACTTTGTATTGTTTAGAAACAAAACATCCTAGAAGATGCACTAGAAGATGCACTTGTCACTATGTCCTTGTCACTATGAAGATATTCTGCATAAGAGCAGGCCTTTTAAAATTTGTGTTTACTGATTTGAAAACAAAACAAAACAAACCTCTCTGTTCTGTAATTGCGTTTGGTGATCAGGGAGAGCAATGATACTAGGGTATGATCAAATGTTTTCCAGTCCTGTGTTTTTCTCCAAGTCTGGTCCTCTGGGTGAATGTTATGCATTTCAGGGAGCCAGGGAATAGATCTAACTATGCCTTACAAAATAAGCTTAATTATAGATTCAGCCAAGGCATGGGAACTCAGTAACTAATTATGTATCTAGAGCTTCATATGGGCATTGGAGCCAAAGCTCCATAGAACTCTTTATGTAGTAAATGAGAGGTTAAAAACAATGGCTAAATACCAATTG